AGACTCTACAGTCTGAGCAGAAAACACACCCACACACACTCTATAATTACGCTGTCACACATAAAAAAGAAAAGGCCTTGATTTTATTGGTCTGAATTAATGAGGCCATTGAAGCTGTAGTCTCCTACATAAACGCTGGTGGCAGTTATGAAGTAATTTCATCATAATTCCTAATGACAGCATAAAGTCTGCCAACCATTAGAAAGGTGAGGCTTTAAAGGGGAATTCTATAAACGTTTTAACATGTCTGCTTAATTAAATGGCTAATATTTAACTAAGCTGTTCAGAGAGGTTTGGTATAAAATGCTCTGCCCTAGAAAAACCTACTGAGTCAGAATTATTCACAGTAGTGGTGGTAGGAACCAGACGTCCACCTCTAAGAGCTCCCTCACAGAAAGTTATTACATGAAAATGGTTATGAATATGCTGAATGATGCCTGAGACATTATCATAGTCTTGGCCTTTTTTGGTGGAGGCAAAGGCGTTCTAAGACAAAATAGTTCCAAAAGAAAACTATTTTGGAGTCAACACCATTTTACCATCACCTACGTTACATATAAAAACTCAGTGGTGGTTTTGTATAGTAAATAGAGTGCCTGTATATGTGTTGTATTCATTGTGACCCCTGGTTCCAGTCAGTACGTTTTTCTACAATGAACCGTTTCACATCAAACCACTCTGGATGACTGTTTACTTCTCAACTATTAAATTATGCAGACATTTAGAAAAATTGCCAGAATTCCCCTTTGATTGATAAGTGTATGTATGTGGGTTTTGCATGTGTGTGCCCCTCAGGCTTCATGTAAATGTCATGTTTTCATCAAGCTGTGTTTAAACGGAGTGGTTTCAGATGTCTTTGACTGTGACATTTCTTGTAAGGCCAGGCGATACTGATAAATATGAATAACTCAGTATTTTCAGATGTTGCGATATCACAGCATCAGATGATCTTTAAGACCGAAATGGATCCCTATCTGTGAGAGATTTTGAATGCACTACAATGCACTAATTTGTAGTGATGTGTACTGCAGCTATATATGTGATGAGGTTTTGCAAATGACAGTTTTTAAAATTCTTGTTAGAAAAAATAAGATGTGCATTTTACATCAGCATATATGTTTGCCTTTATATCTATGTATATTTTATATCTTAAATATAGTTAGTAATATCAAAGCTTTTGGTTGTGGCACCTGACTTTTCAGACTAATTTCAAGTTAAACAGACACCTGTAGAGCTGTACACGTGTGTGTTTTATTAGCTGTATTTTTAAGTCGCTTGCCCTTCTGGCAGTCTCGCAGTGTTCAAGTCCAGTGGGGGCGGGCACTTTGTGGGAATGTAACGTTACATTCCCATCAAATTTGGCGCTCCATGTGTAGGGTATTTTGATCTGTCATCTCAGCCCTCAACAGTGTACATCGCGGAAATTCACATCTCGATAACAGTGACAATATGATTTGTCATACAGCCCTTATGTATTCATAAGTGCATGTCTCACAGGGCCAGACGTGATCTTGTAATGAAAGTACACATCTAGGGACAAGCTGTTCAACTTCTAGAGCTGGATTGTGGCAAACTCTGCCTCTAACAAGGGTTGCCCCACCCCAAACTGCTCTGGTCAGTGCTCTTTTAACGTCTGGAATACAATGATAACCCAAGCAAACTGGTTTTCTCTAGATAGAGATAATGTTTATTTATCGCATGTAATGTGTTCTTCGCACACGCAACACATGCCTACATACTCAAGTGCTGTCCATTAGACAATGTTGATGAGCACACCATCACCCCCTACTTTGAGCACCACCTTCACAAGGTGTTGGATTGGTTCAAAAATTTTACTCTCAATTTGTTCCCACCCTAATAAGTCTACGTTTAGCCTCATTTAGGCTTACATTTCTCATGGTTGTCTAGCCCCGTGAGGCTATTTGTTACTAAGCAATGGACAGAGGAATGTTAGCTAATGCTAATTGTGGCTGCTGTGCCATCAAAAGCAAAACATATCAGATTCTCTGCACCTTTTAAAACACTACAGCTACTAATAAGAAGCCAACTTCAGCCTCGCTCAAGCAGCTCAAGTTATTTTGTTCATGTGACTGACTGAATTCATTTATGAGTCCTATTGTTTCCAACCAAAACCTAACAATGAAATAAGAGGATTCCTACATAACCTGTAAAGTTTAAATACATGCAGAACATTTAAAAAACATATTTTACTTATTTCACTCAACTCATTAGGCCCTTTGTGAAGGTCTTCAAGGCCCTGAAGTTTCCCTACATGTAAAGACATAGGGGATTTAGTGATTAGCTTGTAATGTAAACTTTTAGTGCTTGTTAGATCAAGACTCTATAATACAAAGCAAACTAAAAGGGTTTAATTTGACAAAGGGCAGAGGTCATGTTCTAGCCAAGCCTTGGGCTTCTTTTTCCGTTAAACAAAAGGCCTAACTGCCGCCTTTAGCTGTGCAAGTAATGCGTTAACTCTGCTTTATTAGAGTTGAACCACTGTTTAGCATTCAAACTGAGTCCAGGGTAAACATACACAATGTGTGTGGGAACACTTCAGCGTTACGGACGGTTAACCCTCACCTGACCCCAAGCAGCGTTGATGTGGTGGGAGTGGCAGCTGTTTCACAAGCCGTGAAAACTGTGTGTGTGTGTGTGAATATGTGGGGCATTGTCTCTGGTGACACCAGGCGTGGTCGCACCATTGCCGTTTCCATGCAGCCTCGCCCGAGCGCTGCTTCCTGTGGGTCACATCACTCTACTGTGTACTTAGTGCTCTGGAGTGGACTCACTCTCTGCACTGTGTGTGTGTGTGTGAGTTCAGTTTACCTTCGGATCATGTGTGTGTGTGTGTGTGTGTGTGTGTGTGTGTGTATTAATGGCTCTCCCTTTGTTAATGATTGTGTAAAGTGACATGACTTTCACCTCTCTCTCTCTCTCTCTCTCTTTGTCTCTCTTTCTTTCTCCTCTCTATCTGTATTCTTTCTCTCTGTCTTTTTCTCTGTATCTCTTTCCCTCTTTCTTTCTCTCTTGCTCTATCTCTTTCCTTCTTCCCCTCTCTATATTTGTCTCTCTGTCTCTTTCTTTATCTCTATCTTTCTCTTTCTATGTCTCTTTGTTTCTCTCTATCTCTCTCTCTCTCTTACTCTTTCTATGCCTCTCTTTGTCTGTTTTTGTCTCTTTCTTTCTTTCTTTCTTTCTTTCTTTCTTTCTGTATTTTCCTCTCTTTTTATGTCTCTCTCTCTCTGTTTCTCTCCATTTCTCTTTTCCTCTTTCTCTAATTCTTTCTTTCTTGCTCTATCTCTATCTCTACCTTTCTTTCTTTCTCTCTATTTATATATCTGTGTTTATCTCTCTCTCTCTATTCTATGTCTTTTTCTCTCTTTCATTCTCTCTGTCTTTTTTTGCCTCTCTCTCTCTCTCTGTATTTTTACAGTGACTTTTTATTTAACGCAATAAAAATCAAACAACTGGTAAAGATAAACAAGGTGATGTCATAATGGACTAACATCCAATCAGCTGCTTGTTACTGTACAGTTTTGGTGTGGCAGTGTGACACCATTGCTTGTTGTTTATAAACTCTGTGCTGGGTTTGAATCTATTTTTGTGCAGTTGTTGAGTGTTTTAAAAGTGCTGATGATACTTGGTTAAAAAACACGTTAATAATTAATAACATTAACTTGTCATCATACCACCCACTCTGTATCGCAGTGTATCACCCACCCGCTGTCACGTACTTAAACCCCGTATCAGTACAGACATTTACATAGACATTTACTAGACAGTAATGACAGTGTTTTTGTTTACTAGATGTTGCCTGTGGGTCATCCGCGAGGCATTTCAGCTCCAAACCTTTGATCCTTTCTTAAGCTTCACGCTCCAGTAAATGCATTTGAACCAAACACATCCACACCTACCCACCCACATACTCCTACACACACCTGCAGTCAGCATTACATGCAATAATCAGGCCCTTTTAAAGCTTCTGATTCATTCTGTCCTGCTTTTAATTTAGAACTCTTTGATATTTTTCGGCCTAAGTGAAATGAGGGCTTTCCATTGAAAATCTGCTTAATACTCTATGTAGTAAAAAAACAACACTGTACAATGTGCAGAACATTATAATCACTTTTGTGATACCTTCACATTACAAATGAACCAGTTTAAGTAATCTCCATCAAAGAAACTTGTGTGGGCTCAAAATGAGTAAGAGTGCAAATGTATGTGGTTTTGGCTGGCGGTGTTCGGGAAGATGCTGTAGTGTTGGGTGGATACATGAGTCACTTTCCTCATCAGCCTTTTTTTATCTGGTAATGACAATTTTATATTAACCCAGAATTAGCCTGTAGTCTGTTATGCAAATTATTTAGTGAGAAAAAGAAAGAGATGTTGTTGCTGTTAGTCTCAGGTTACTTATGTGCATAGATACACACAAGCCTCTTTTGTACCTTTTTATTCTATATGACATTGTCAGATGGCACAACCTTGGTTTAGCTTTATATGACATTGTCCTATGGGGCGACCTTGGTTTAGCTCTATATGACATTGTCCTATGGGGCAACCTTGGTCTAGCTCTATATGACATTGTCCTATGGGGCAACCTTGGTCTAGCTCTATATGGCATTGTCCTATGAGGCAGTTTTTGTCTATACAGCATTGTCTTATGGTGCAACCTTGAACTATATGACATTATCCTACGGTGCTAGACTAGATTTTCTGTACCCAAACCTGTGACAAAAATGTATTTTATACAAGTAAGCTATATGGGTTAACATCTGTGAGAAAGAGCAATGAGATCTTGTTGTTTTTGAGTATCTATGTAGTAAGTGGGAATTTACCCGTACCGTTTTCAGCTTTATGAAATGGGCCATGCTGCCATTAACAGTGTGTGCTTATCCTGCTGAAATGTCGGAAGTTACTGATCTGATCTGGCTTTTTTATGGTTTATTTATTGTTGTTGTTATCTACATCTGATCTCTTTGGCTTTCTTCATTTTTCAGAATTTCAGTGGAAGCACCCATGCTCATTTGTGACTACCCAGTGAAGACAGACATGGAGACGGTGAGTAGTATGACATATTGAGACCAGTGTATGCACAAATGCCGTTAAAGGTATAAGAAGCAGTATGACACTACCCAACACAAATCAGTTGCAATCAATTAAAACAGTCTTGCTGAAGGTCTCATGTTCGTTTGTTTTAGAATTTTGCTTTAAGAAATACAATAACATCAAATAAATAAACGCTGTAGTTCTGGAATTGATCAGCTAGGAGTGTCTTCCTTATGTTTTAGTCAAAGGAGCTATAATGGCTGATGCTGTCCTATGGGGCAACCTTGGTCTAGCTGTATATTACATTGTCCTATGGGGCAACCTTGGTTAGCTGTATAATACGTTGTCCTATGGGGCAATCTTGGTCTAACTGTATATTACATTGTCCTGTGGGGCCACCTTGGTCTAGCTGTATATTACATTGTCCTATGGGGCAATCTTGGTCTAACTGTATGTTACATTGTCCTATGGGGCAACCTTGGTCTAACTGTATATTACATTGTCCTATGGGGCAACCTTGGTCTAGCTGTATGTTACATTGTCCTATGGGGCAACCTTGGTCTAGCTGTATATTACATTGTCCTATGGGGCAACGTTGGTCTAGCTGTATGTTACATTGTCCTATGGGGCAACCTTGGTCTAGCTGTATATTACATTGTCCTATGGGGCAATCTTGGTCTAGCTGTATATTACATTGTCTTATATGGCAATCTTGGTCTAACTGTATATTACATTGTCCTATGGGGCAACCTTGGTCTAGCTGTATATTACATTGTCTTATATGGCAATCTTGGTCTAGCTGTATATTACATTGTCCTATGGGGCAACCCTGGTCTAGCTGTATATTACATTGTCTTATATGGCAATCTTGGTCCAGCTGTATATTACATTGTCCTATGGGGCAACCCTGATCTAGCTGTATATTACATTGTCCTATGGGGCAACTCTTACAAATCTCTATATTACATTATCATGACCAAGAGAATGACTAATCTGTCAGTTATATGAGCACATTGTTTCGATCCTGTTTATGCAACACCTGTTGTAAGTAGTTCAGCCAACCTGCCTGACATGATCGACTCGTAATTGAAGTTGTGTTAGTGCAGCTCGTCTGTCATCTCTCACATTTGTACATTTAATTAATTTCTGACTTGTGTGACGATGAATAATACTAAGCAGAGTTATACCTGGGTAGATTTGTTATGCCTGAAATAAAATGTAGATTTAGGTGAGTGGTTATGTACAGTAAGGTGTGCGTGGAGCAGCAACGATACTCTCTCTTCCTGTTGCTTGTCTAGGTCAATAGGCCCAGTTTACCCACTTTTAACAAAAACAATCTCCCTCTTTCCGCCCCGAAAAACAAACCTGAGTCACAGAAAGCACACAATGGTCAAGCTGGCGACCGGCCAATTGCACGCCAGAGGTTCATGTGTGTATGTATGTGTGTAAGTAGTCCAGTTTCCGTGTATTAAAGAAAAGCAGGGGCAGTAGCACAGGCCATGTTGAGTCTAGGTATTAACCTCATCAGTAAGACACTCTTAAATTTCAGAATTCAGAAGGATAATTCATACCACACTGATGTTACTGAACCGCATCTCCCCCTCTCTCTTTCTCTCTCTCGCTCTCTCACTCTTTCCCCAGATGGATGTGCATTCCTTTCTCGTTAGGTTATGGCTTTGCAGGGGGCTGAATGTTAGGTTTGGCTCCGGCTTGCTTGTCAGAAAAGCAGTTTTTCTGCCCTTTTGTTGTACCCCTGAGCACACAGCTGCCTCACCCAGCCTGTGTGTGGTTTGTCAGCCTTTTTTAAACACCATTGCCAGTTTTCTATGCTGCTATCAGTAGATTTGTCAAGTAAAAGAGTGGTATAAAAACCAGCAGAAAAAGTTTCTGTTTCTTTTTTCAAGTTCCCTTCCTTCTCTACTTTTGAGTGAGTAAACAATATTCTGCACACTCAGTGAGTTGCATAACACTCAGAGTCAGGTCTATTGCCTAAAGCCTGTATGCGACATCGTTGTTAGTAAGTGGCCCAACTGCACATACATTAATATATGCATTCACTACAAGCTGAAAATGCAATAACAGTTTGTAGATAATAGGATATATTTTGCTGTTTTTACTAATTTTTCACTGTTGGTAAAAGTAGATACGATTGGAATCCTGGTGTCTACACATGGGCCTGAGAGTGGGTGCAAGTTAGGGTTAGGGTTCCAAACCTTTGTTAAGGCATTTTGTTGGTGATCTGACAGACAGGCACATTTTTATAAGATCATAAGTAGTCTAAATATCTGTGGAAATATATTTGAGTGGAAAAAGAAAACATCCCTACAACCACTTGTAATATATGTAATACCAGTGTTTTGAGTGTGGTTACGTTAGCTTTTCTTTCTTTAAAACCAGGGTTGAATCATAACTATTACTGCTAGGCCTTCAGTTTGGACCATACATAATAGCATGTTAGTACTAAGCTAATTGTGGCGCACATTTCTTTTTTTTTTGGCCATTCGAGTTTAACAGCGAACATGTGAAGCATGTAAAAAACACTCAGAACATTTTATCTGAAGCTTGTAATAGACATATTAACATATATGTTACTCTGTAGCAGTTTCCTAACAACTAACTGAAACCTGGTGGGACTGTGGCTTATATTTGC